ACAAAGTGCTGCACCTGCCACGAAATCTGGACATGGAGGTTCACAAATTGCTGTGCCTGCCACGAAATCTGCACTTCAAGAAACAAGTGAAAACTCTAATCCCAATGGAGGGACGATTCCGACCATGCCCGACCATGATCCGAGCATGATCCGAGAATGACCTGAGACCGTCTCGCACCCGTCGTTCCGCAGAGCTAGACTTGTCAGGTTTGAAGCCACCGGTTCTATTGAAAAATACAGCATGTCGTGCGTCCGCTATCTCTCCAAAACGCATTTTGTATTGCGCCTGCCACGAAATGTGCACCTGGAGGTTCACAAAGTGCTGTGCCTGCCACGAAATCTGCGCATGGAGGCTCACAAAGTGCTGCGCCTGCCACGAAATCTGCACCTGGAGGTTCACAAAGTGCTGTGCCTGCAACGAAATCTGCACATGGAGGCTCACAAAGTGCTGTGCCTGCTACGAAATCTGCACATGGAGGTTCACAAAGTGCTGCACCTGCCACGAAATCTGCACCTGGAGGTTCACAAAGTGCTGCGCCTGCCACGAAATCTTGCCATGGAGGTTCACAAAGTGCTGCACCTGCCACGAAATCTGCACGTGGAGGTTCACAAAGTGCTGCGCCTGCCACGAAATCTGAGTCATCTCACCAGTGGTGTATGATGAGTGGTGTATGACTAGTGGTGTGTGATGAGTGGTGTATGATGAGTGGTGTATGATGAGTGGTGTATGATGAGTGGTTTTTTGATGAGTGGCGTATGATGAGTGGTGTATGATGAGTGGTGTATGATAAGTTGTGTATGATGAGTGGTGTATGATGAGTGGTGCATGATGAGTGCTGTATTGAACAGCTGTTGAATGTCCGTAACACGGAAGTTTTGCACACCTAAACTTCCTTTGAATATCCCAAACACAATCACATGATGCAAATCTTTAGATGGAAGACGTGTTGCTGCCGTGTGCGTGTGTGTCACACAGGTCATGTTTTGACATGCATTTATAGGTGTGAATAGTTCGCAAGTTGGCCCATGCGGCCAAAGTTTGTATCATCATTCAATGCTGGGTCGAAACTTTGGGGTTGATTTTAGCTTTAAATGTTGGTTTGGCTGGGGTCTCGAAGGCCTACCAGGCAAAGGACACCTTCAAGAAACTCTTCTCTCTCCTTGCTTAAGATGCCTCTGATTCTTTAATCCTTCTTTCACCCTCGTGCCTGGAGGGATCGCAGCCGACTTGAGTCCATGCAGTTGTGCGGATGCTTTGCCAGACATCGTTTCGCATGGTTAAACCATGTTAAACCAGTTATATATAACTGGTTACTATAAACAGCATATAGTTAAACCATGTTAAACCTGAAGCTATCTTGAGCCAACCACCCGAACCGGTAACAACCCTTTGTTGCGCCAGGCCATGCCTTCCCGGAGGACCCCTGGCGCGAGGGACCTGGCTGCCGTGCAGTTGGCCTTCCACTTTGTGACGATGTCCATGATGGAAGGCAGAACATCGCGGGAAGTTCGTAGAGCTTGTGGGATGGGTGGTGGATTCATGTCCTTTGGTTTGCATTTTGGGATGCCCGGATCATTCTGGATCTAATTCAAAAGGACAAGCACTCAGAACAAACACAAGTTTCCAAAACGCATATTCTACACTTGGAGCAACATCAACATATCAAAGTTTTCTTAGTTCTTGTTGTTGGCCCTCAGAACGGTCCGGAACAAATCATCGTCGTGTTAAGTGGAGGATGGCGGAGGTATGATTTTTTATGATCATTGGTCTACGTTTTATAATACATATTTAGAGCCTGATTGTCATTATACATTCCAAGTGATTGTCCGTCACTATTGACTATGTTGGGTCACAGTGATCGGGAAAGATGAAGCGACGTACGCTGGTCAGGCGGGGGAATGATTAGAGTGAGATTCTGGAGGTGAAAGATGGTGGATTAGAAGAGGTGGTGAGAGTATGTGAGAGTCCTGACGCGAATCATGAAATCATGCAACGGAAGCCGGAACCTTGCTCAAAAATTTGATGTAGCTGGTGACGTCATTGAGGACGGCAAAGCCACATGAATGTTGCGGCCACTCGCCCCACCCACAGCATCAACAACAAAGACCTGATCAGGTACGCCTATTCCTACAAGGTCATGCTGTATCACAAAGACGTGGCTGCATTCAACGACCGTGGTGTCAGCAAGAGTGCCCTTGGCAGACACGAGGCGGGCATGGAGGACTACAACAAGGCCATTGAGCTGGATCCCAAAGAAGCGGCTGCGTTCAACAACCGTGGCACCTGCAAGAGCGACCTTGGCAG